ACGCCAATGGAAGACGAACCGAGGAGTTCGTCGGCGTGCTCCTCGGCCGTATTTCTACGCCGACAACAATATATCATGAAATAGACAGTGATAAAGAGGATAAACGCCTGGGCTCCGGAACCCAGGACCGGCCGACCGGGGGTTCCCTGTCCCCGGCGAGTCGTCATCATGCGATGGGCTAACTGCAGGGTTGCCGACGGGCCCTGCAGTGGAATTGGCTACCGTTCGGACAGAGGTTGCGGAAGATGCTCTAGGTGCGGATGATCTCGCACCTGGGACGAAGGAGCAGGGAGAGCCTGGTGTCTTTGCACCGTCTCCGCTGCAGGAGAGGAAGAAAGAGCTGCGGTTGTGCCTGGATCCCCGGGAGGCTGACGCAGTCGCGAGTACTTAAGCGGAGGACTTAGCGGCTCCTGGATCCGCCTTATTTGGAAGGGTCTTGCGGTCGAGGAGGGGACCGAGGATCGTGGAGATCACGAAATACCCATACAAGATGAAGATCAAGGTTGTTGCGGATGAGATTGTGAACTCCCCCATTACGGAGAGCGGGTCGGCTGGCGGCGGTCCTAGCCTGGTTAGGGATGCCGGTGTGGTGGACCTCACTGTGCCACCATCTAGCGTCGAGGGGATGAGTGTTGACCGTGCGGGTTCGCGAGTGGGGACCCTCGTTAGGGTCTATATCGGTGGAGGTTGATGGGGAGCTCTCATCCTCTTTCGAGCAAGTTCCGTATAAGGAAAAAAGAGGGGCCGTAAACCCAAGGGCAGTAATGCCCCCGGTTCTCGCGTTGTGTCTAGGATGTCATCGAAGCGACTGGAACTCGATGACGACGTGTGGGACAGAGAGGACTTTCTTAGGCTCTCGAAAAAAGGGGCGCAAAGTCTCAATAAGAGGAGAGGCTTAGTGGAGTGTCATCTGGATGACAGGCTGTCGGCTGGACAGAAGACGGCCATTGAAGAGGTGACGGATCTCTTCCCCCAGATGTCGCCGAAGTCGGTGGTGGCGGAGACTTTGCGTGTCTTGAACATTGCGGGAGAAGCCGAGAGGAGGACCCTCACGATGAACGGGGCCCTTCGTAGGCAGATTAAAGTCGGGGTTAATGTCGCGAAGATTGTGGTGCAACGGCTTGTGACTGTAATTGACAAGAGCACGGGAACTACAGATGAAATAAGGGCCAATAACCTCGCCTTGGAGAGGGAGGTCGTGAGACTCCGCAGGGAGATGGACTCACTGCGCAGTGAGATGGCCTCCCTAAAGGAGCAGGTTGAGTCCCTGCGGCGCACGATGCTGGCTGTGGGGGATGGCGATCGCGGGAGGGATCGTACTCCCTCTTCGGATGGAGCCGTTCCGTTGTGCGATTCGCCGGTCTCGCGCCGTTCTCGGGGACGCTGTCTGAGGAGTCGGGGTCCGAACGTGGACGTTACAGGTGAGGCGAGACCTCCGGACATGCCTCTGATACTTAGGCCGTCTCTCGGCGGGGTCCGAAAGAACTTGGATGATGTGCCTCGCCGGTCTACCAGGGTTGATAGTTCGGGTAGTATAGTAGATCCGTCGCGTGCTATTTCGGGTGCCGTTTTGAATTCGCGAGTGGTTAGAACTGTGAGTGGGATGAGTGCGGCTGCGACTGTGGGTGCTCAGCGGGTAGAGCCGTCGACATATACCGTGGACGGTGAGGCATGGACCGTCGCGGGCTCCAAACGCGCTCGGAAGAAAGCTAGAAAGAAGAAAACAGTAGCTGCTGTAGTAAAAGACGGTGGGAGTGTTGTGCCTCCCTCTGTGACTGGGACTGACGGTGGGCGTCGTGCCGTTACCGGTAGTGGGGTAGTTAAGACCTCCGGGGTTTCGTATGCCGCTGCTGCGGCTGGCGTGCCTGGGGGTCGAGGGCGCGCCGTTGCGTCCCGCCCTGCGGCGCAGGGTCCGAGGGTCGTGCCGAGCCGCTCTGTCAGGAAGGAATTTCGACTTCGAGCTCCAAGATCTGCGGCAGTCTTGTTGAGGAGCGTGGCGACGGAGGGCAATGTTGAGCCGTCCTACGCGGATGTGGTTAGGTTGGCGAGAGGAAAGATCTCCTTAGAAGATCTTAACATCGCCAACACGCGAATCAGGAGAGCGCAGGCGGGGGGCCTCCTCATGGAGATCCCTGGGGGTGAGAAAGCAGGTGCCAAGGCGGAGGCGCTTGTGGATCGTCTCAGGGTTGTGCTGGCTGAGAGTGACTACAGGGACAAGGTTAGTGTGGTGCGTCCGGTTCGTCGCGCGGAGATCAGGCTGGTCAACGTTGACCAGTCTGTCTCTGCGGAGGAGGTTGTTAAAGAGGAGGCCACCTTCGGTGAGGTCTCCACGGGGGACATAAGAATTGGTTCATTTAGACCGGGGCGCGGAGGTCTGAACATTGTGTGGGTGCAATGCCCTCTCGCATGCGCCAGCAGGCTGATGAGGGCTGGTCGTTCGCCTCCGTCGTGCCCCTAGCGAGGCGGAGGCTGCAATGCTTTCGTTGCTTCGCGGTGGGGCACACGAGGGTGGTTTGCCAGAGTGCAGTGGACAGGTCCGCCTGGTGCTTCCAGTGCGGAGGCGACGATGGGCACAGGGCCGCTGGTTGTCGGCTGCCTCCACGCTGCCCTGTTGGACAGAGGACTCGCGGCGGGACATCGTGCTGGTGCGGCGGAGTGCGTGCCCTTCAGCGGCCGCGGACAAGCGTCGGCGGGTGCGAATCGTGAGGCTGGTACATCCGTCGGGGTCGATCAGGAGGCCCTGGTTCTTGCGGAAGAGGTGACCATGGACATAGATAATGGTGAGATTGGCCCAGATAAACGTTAACCGGTCGGGACCGTCGCAGGATCTTATCGCCAGGATCTGCGAGGAGTTCGATCTGGGGCTGGTCGCGGTTTCGGAGCCGAATCGCGTCCCGGTTAGTGATCAATGGCTTGCCTCAACGGACACTCCTCCCTCGGCCGCTGTCACATGGCAGTGGAGTCGTTCGAGGGAGCCGTGTTCTCCTCGCTGGAGAGGCAAGCAGTGGACTGGGGGGACGTGATCGTGGTATCATGCTACTTTCCCCCCAGTCTTGGCGACGATGAGTTCTTGCGGGACTTGAATGAACTCGGAGTGAGAGTGCGGGAGGTGGCTGGACGCCCGATTACGATACTGGGTGACTTTAACGCGCGCTCGCCTGCTTGGGATCCGGGGCAACCCAACAGGCGAGGTAGACTGCTACTAGACTGGATGGGTCTCTTAGACTTGCAGATTTTAAATGTAGGCTCGGAGCCGACGTGCGTACACCCGCGTGGAGTGTCGTGTGTCGATCTCGCGTTGGTGTCATCCTCAGCCTCTAGGAGAGTCGTCTCCTAGCGGGTTGGATCCGAGGTGGAGTCTCTCTCAAACCATAGATATGTTTTTACTGATATCGATACAACTCTGGTTGGTCCTACCATTGGGAGAACAATGCTCAAAGCATTTCCTAGGTGAGCCGTCGGGAGGATGGATTCCGATCTATTGGAGGCCGCGGCGATCTTTGTGGCCTGGTGCGGTATCCCTGAGGGAGCGGTTCAAGGAGCGGTACGGATGGACCAGCTGCTCCGCGACATCTCGGATGTCTCCATGCCCAGGAGAGGGTTGCCGAGGAGACCATCCACGTACTAGTGGAACCAAGAGATTGCGGATCTCCGTCGTGCCTGCAACGCGTGCAGAAGGCGCCTAACACGTGCGCGTGCTAGGGGGGCCTCGCAAGAGGGCACATGCGTGGCCTGTGGGATGCTCTGCGGGAGGCTAGACGCAGCCTCAGGGGGGCGATTTATCGCTCCAAAAGGAGGTTGTGGTCGGAGCTATTAAGCGACCTTGATCGGGATCCTTGGGGGTTGCCCTATCGGGTGGTCCTCAGGAAGTTGTGTGCGGGTGGCGTATCGATCGTGGAGGTGCTCCCCCCTGAGGTCGTGGGAGACATCGTCGGGACTCTCTTCCCGACAAGTGGTTCTCCATCGGGCACCGATGTATCATTCGTGTGGCGGGACGAACTCGCGTTACGACCGAGGAGGTCCTGGAGGCCGAACTGAAGGTCAAGTCAGGAAAGGCTCCAGGTCCGGACGGCATCGCGGGGATAGTCGTTAGGGAGACGATGAAGTATCTGGCTCCACTGTGGGCCAATTGCTTCACGGGATGTCTCAGGGAGGGGCACTTCCCGTGGGACTGGAAGGGGGCCAGACTGGTTCTCATTAAGAAGCCGGGTAAGCCAGACCTTTCACCGTCCTCGTACAGACCTATTTGTCTGCTAAGCGAGGCGGGAAAACTGTTCGAGAGAGTACTGGCACGTAGATTGCATGCCTTCTTGGATGCATCGGGGGGTATCGCGGAGGGCCAGTTTGGCTTCCGCCAGCATCGCTTCACGATCGATGCGATTTGGAAACTAAGGGAGTACGTTGATGATGGTCTGCGGGATGGGGGTGTGGTGGTGGCTGTGTCGCTAGACATAGCCAACGCCTTTAACTCCCTCCCGTGGCGAGTCATCGGCGACTCCTTGGAGGAGAAGGGGGTGCCGGAGTATCTCAGATGCATTATCGGGAGCTATCTCTCCGCTCGGGAACTGGCCTACGTAGATAGGAGAGATAGATTGACGCGTGCGCCTGTGTCGTGCGGGGTTCCGCAGGGATCGGTGCTGGGGCCGACCCTGTGGAATGTCGGGTACGACTCTATATTGAGACTCCGTTTCCCGATTGGATGTGAGATAATGTGTTACGCGGATGACACTCTATTGGTGACACGTGCTGGTACTTTTGAGGAGGCACGTTTAAGAGCGGAGGTAGGGGGCACCTTTTTGATTCGCAGTATCGAGCGTCTTGGGCTAAGGGTCTCGGTTGCCAAGATCGAGGCCGTGGCCTTTTCGATTGATGGGACGCCGGCTGGTGCGGTTATTGGGATCGGGGGGGCGGTGGTTCCGATTGGGTCCGCCGTGAAATACCTGGGTCTAACCCTGGATTCGCGGTGGACTTTCCGCCTCCTTCTTCCCAAGGCCTGGGGCATGGCTATGGCTCTAGCGCGTCTTACCGCCAATATCGGCGGTCCTGGCGAGCGACGGCGTCGATTGTACGCGACAACGGTCATGTCGGTGGTTTTATACGGTGCCCCGATTTGGGTGCAAACGGTGGCTAACGATCGCGGGATCCTGAGGGATGTGCAAAGGCTGCAGCGGCAGCTTGCCCTCAGGATCATTCGGGGTTATCGTACCGTCTCCCACGAGGCTGCGTCTGTCCTCTCGGGGATGGTACCCTTCGACATAGTTGCGGACAGGTTGAGGAGGTCATACCTTCGCCGGCGAGATATTATCTGTCGAAGTGGAACTGTCGAGCCTCGGATGACTTTGATGTTGTCCGAGGTGGAGCGACGTCGTTCTATTTTAAGATGGCGGGAGCGTCTGATCGAGTTGCCTCCGGATCGACCCGGGGCGATCGTTAGGGGCGCCTTTGTGGAGGACCTGGAGAACTGGGTGGGGAGGGCGCATGGTGCCCTTACTTACCGCATTACTCAGGTCTTGACGCGACACGGGGGGTCTTCGAGTCCTATCTCTATAAGATTGGACGGCGGAAGTCCCCGATTTGCTTGTTTTGCAGAGCGGCGGTAGATACAGCGGCGCACACTCTCCTGTTCTGTCCAGCCTGGGTGGAGCAGAGGAGGGGGCTGCTGGAACACGTGGCGGTATGCAGGACCCTCCGTGCGCTCTCCTGATGCGTGGTTGATCTTCGCAGAATTCTGCGAAGTAGTGGTGCGACGGAAGGAGGAGGACGAGCGGGCTCGTGAACGGGGACTCGGTCCTCCGGGGGGTCCGCTCGTCACTCCTCTCAACGTGCACAGTTCTGACGAGGAATCGTAGCGGCTCGGCGCCACAGGCGCATTAACGTACGTGACCGTGTATGTATTCGTGTATATAATTGTGTATTTGTGTTGGTATATGGTTGCGTGAGATGAGCTTGTATATATTGTATATATCTAAGTTAAGTTTATTTGGTTTTTGTATATGTCGAAAGGAGATATTTCTCCTTTGGCGTATTTGGCAGCGGTGCAGTCTTTACTGCATTCGTACCATAACCCGTGTTAGGCGGTAGAGAGCCTGTCAGAGCCTCTGGGGAGGGGGGGA